TTATATGCACAAACTATGATATTTGGAAACAAGTAGGTTAACTTTGCAAGCAAAGGTAAAGAGAAAAATTTTAACTCCCCAATCATTGTAGGTTTTCTATCTCTCTCTCTCTTATGGTTTCTTGCACTGGCATAAACAATTTCTAATTAAACCTAATTAGTTTTGGTTTCTTTTCTTTTTCTTTTTTCTTTTTTTCATTTGTTTTTATTTAAAGCGTAACTGTACATTTTTCCCAGTTTTTTTATTAACCTTTTATTTTGACTCTCTCTTTTCTTTTCTTTTTTTTTTTTAAAGTAAAATTGTTTTAATACATTCTTCATTTTTTTCTTTTAGGGATTCGACTTTTGAAGTAGGTCAAGAATTTTGAGGTTCGAGACTTTTTTTGTGGAGAGTTTAGATTTTCTGGTTGAAGTTCAAATACTTATGAATAGACTCAAATTTTAGACAGTTCTGTGCACATTGAGGACCAATGATTGTTCAAAGCATTTTGTGTTGAGGACAAAGGATCGACTCCTTTGATCATCCAATGCACTTTGTGTTGAGAACCAATGACCGACTCCTTCAACTGTTCAAGATACTTTGTATTGAGGACTAAGAATTGGCTCCTTCGACCATCGAAGGCACTTTGTGTTGAGGATTAATGATCAACTCCTTTAAATGTCCAAGTCATTTTGTGTTGAGAACCAAGGATTGGCTCCGTCGACCGTCTAAGGCTGCATGTCATTTACATATTTGGTAGACTCGTAATTTTAGTTAATAAATATAAAAATCTGAATTCAAAATTTTTAATGTCCAAAAAATTTTTATTGCTGATCTTTTTGTTTACTGATTTTCTCATTTTTTATTTATTTATTTCGTAGGAATGACTAAGATAAATTCTAATATAAAGTATATTCTGATATGCACGAAATCGTCGCGTTCAAAAATTAAGGTAGAAGTTATCTTTGTTTTAAAGATACTGATGTGAAGTACCATGGCTAGTTCAACACGCGAAGTGAACTTAAACTAAGCATCCATAGAGCAACGACATCTCCTTCTCCTGATCCTTCCGGGCCTTTGTCGGAATTGCATATGCCTATCGTGAGTGAATGCCATGAAAATTTGGATGCTGCCCAGTCTAGGTGTTCTAAACCATGGAGCTCATCCCAAAGGCAATAGCTTTGAAAGGTTGACAATAAGAAAATACAAGAGAAAAGTGCACCTGTGGTCGTGGAGAGATTTCTTATCTTCTAAAGTTTTGGGAGTGATCTACTTGGATCTAAAAACTCCTGCTGAAGAGAAATCTTCACGAGTTAATGTCTGCAGTCACCTCTGCTACAAAGGATTATCATCTTCCAAACTCTATCTATAGAACTCTTTATGAGGTTCGATGTCCAAATACTAACACTTTTGTGACCACAAGTGGTGAAATTGACATTTCTCTTTGGGACATCCGTGAGATTAGCAGACTTTCAATCATGTGTCATTATTATGAAAAAGTAGTCCTAAGCCTTTTAGAGTTGATGGACTATCTCCCTAAATCTTGCTTGTAACTTTGTAATGTTTTCTCATTAATTGCTAATGAGAAAGAATCCGACTGCGTTATTTATGCTTCTTTTAAATATCATCTTATCTCTCTTTATGGGTTTCATTCTTCCCTCGGGGGAGGAATGTATGAGAGTTGGGACTTTTAAAGTATCTTTTAAGATTGCTACCAGATTCACTTATAGCCTAGTTCCTCCCATATTAGCGAGTATTTACAAGGAACTCACGTGAATGTCTAACTGCTTATCAAGCCGGGACCTTGCAAAATTTCACATTCATTTCCCGACACGTTTTGGTTCGCACTTATTTTGTCCGTGGTATTTTTAATAATGTAGATAAGAATTTTTATCATCCTATTATCCAAAGATATGCACGCACTTTCAATGCTTTCCAATCTTGGGAGATTAATGTCATTGATTGTCAGACCTTATTCGTGGATAAATAGACGTTGAAGACTTTTGCTGGAATCCACTTCCCTCACCATCTTGTTCTGGAGTACGAGTTGATGATGCACCATGGTCTACAGATACTCAGTATTTATGATGAGTATACGATCTCAATTTGTGTCTTATTGCGAGGATCTTCTACATTTATTCTTGATGCATATAATCATCACAGGTTTGTGAGACAAGATGACTTTAGGTAGAAACTTCCTGATTCACCAAGAAAGGTTAATATTATTCCCAATGTAGTCAACATGAATCGTGTTTGGTTATCCTTGACTCAGACAATAAGTGGATCTTATTTCATATTCCGGAGTATAAGAAGGATACACTTCAAGAAGTTGATGTTGAGTACACTTCCAGAATAATAAAATACTGTCAAACCTGACCAAGGTTCAAGTGTGGGTTTTATCTTCTAGAGAGAGTCGTGGCTTTGTTCTTGAGCTAGCTTCGAGGATAACAAACTGGGTTGTAGCCAAAGGGTTAAACTCTCCAAATGTCATTCCTGAAGAGACTTCTTGAAGAGGGAACCTAACCTTTGAAATGAAAGAGGTATTAAAATAATTAAAATTATAGTTCCCTCAACAAAGTTTGCTTCCACCTCTAAGCCTACTGATAAGATACCTGAAGTAGTTTTGATCTCATGTAACAAACTTCAATTTCAGGCTCCTTTTTTTCGAATATATAAAATGAAGCGAGCAATACAGCCAAGGCCACCTCAAGCTATTCCAAGTACTTCAAAATGTGATCTCGAAACTTCTTACATTAACATCAGTCTCTTGGATACACCATCAGATAGCGAATTTTTAGACTAGCGTAGAACATGAAATGCGGGTATGTTCTTTATTCTTCTTTGTCTATCTTTTTTTTTTTTTTTCAAATGATCTTTCGTTTTTTCTTTTATTTGTATTTTTTCCAAGCATTCCTAAAGGATTGAATTTCGATGCACTTAGTACTTATGATTTTCACGGCCCTTAATGAAAGTACTTTGGCATTTAACATAGACGATTAATGAAAGTACTTTGGCGTTTAACATAGACAATTTTGATAATGAAGATGAAGTGAATTCTGAGACTGTGAGAGCTATCATTTGAGAGATCAATCAAGAAGTCTCAACTATTCCATCTTAATTGGCTTTAGTTAACATTCCTCCTTCATAGAATAAGATGCTGAACATTGAAATCCAGTGCAGCATAAATAAATAGTTGAGCTATCCGCAGTTAAGATGCTGAACCTTGAAATCCAGAACCTCCTGGTATGACTTTCTTTGAAAAGCAAGTTTTTCTACTTTCAGGGAATGAGCTTCTCCTACAAGCAGACACGTTATGATTAATTAAGGACTTACGCCAGGAAGACCAGAAAAAGGATAATCAAATTAAAAATATATATTTGAAGGTTCAAAGGGGCG